CGTCGCATGCCTGCGACTTCCCAAACCGTCATGCACCAGCCGGCCTCGACTGAGGCAATCGACCGGTTCCGGCCGTGCCGGAACGTGCAGGACGACCGCATTGGAAACCCAGCGCGGCAATTTCACGAACCTCGGACTCGCAAGCGGTCCCGCTGCGGGAGGTCTAAAGGGAGCCGCTGTGCTCCTCGGTGCATCATCCGCTCCGAAACCTCCTTTTCATGGTTTCACTTTTATGTAACTCGTGCAATCACTCATTATACATCTCGGCGGCCCTCTTCTTTTTGAACCTCCTTCCCATAGTTTCGCTTCGATGTAACTCGTGCAACTATCAGCTTTCGCGCTCTGCAAGTGGCCATTACTGTTCGCTTCTGATTCAAGGAGGTGAGTGTCGAAGCGATTTCGGCCATTGAGCGTCACAAATGCTTGGAATTAATTTCTTGGCGAATCTTGCACCAGCACCCACAGCATGCCTTTTCCCTCTCTGTCTGGGTTACGAGCTATCTTCTGCCAATTCATTCTGAGATGGTCATGTATTCGGGTCGAAAGTGAGAATGCATTGGTCTGAAAATGCAGCCAAAATGACAAGATGCGATCAGATTATTTTTCGACGGTGAGAGAAACGGTATTGGCACAGTTATATAATCCTGCTGAAAACCAATGGTAACTCGCATGCAGGGGACTGCAATTGTAGCATAATTTATTTTAAAAAAGAGGATTAAAATGTCGAACGAGGAAATGAATCTCATGCAGGGGGAACATGCACCAGATTCCACTTTTGAATTTTTTTCCGAGTACATTAATGAAGATAAAATAATAATAAAAAATTGAGGCACTTTAATGGAAAATAAAGTTCCTGTCATATGCTTCAAAACTGAATTTTTCTTTCATTCGACTTAATAATGATTTTCTATCAATATTTAACCCATCAAGTGACTTTTTGGCCTACGTAACCAAGGGGTGGAAATAACGGTAGGTCTCTCGACGCGTTTCGTGAGGATAAACAGGGGTAGGCAAAAACGGAAGAAGAGATCTGGGAGTTTCTGGTTTTGGTGGCCCACAAACGAGGCTGAATTGTTGGCGAGGGGGTACAGAGGAGGGGCACAGGATTGACAGATGAGGCGAGGAGATTTTCGTGCGAGAAGCGTTTAGAAGACCGTACTCGCTGGGGAGAAGGTTGAAGGGGGAGGGGGGGGGGGGGCGATCTCATCCAGGTTTTCAAGGAATTAAAGGAATAGATAATGTCGAGCGTGGTAGGTTCTTCCAGTTCGATGGCAGCAAGAGAACGAGGGGTCATCGACTCGAGTCGCGTATACCACTGGTGCTGTTCAGGTCGAGACAGGACTTTTCTTTTTACTTGTAGAGTGGTGGACACGTGGAATGCATTTGACGACGATGTAGTGGCTGCCCATTTTCGTGACTATTTTTACCAAGAAAAGAGATGCCTTTATGGACAAGGAAGAAGGGGGGCAATGTTGACTTGAGGGACTAGACAGTAAGCAACTAAGATATGCTTTTTTTTTAAATCCCAAAAAAACGAAAATATTTAGCTTTAAAAGGGGACGGCCTACCATAAAATTTAGGAACGCTCGACCTCGACATGTGATATCCAAATTGGTGTTATCGCCTCTTGATACTGCTAAACAACCTTGAACCCTGAACAAAATATATCTGTCACCGATTAACTTAGTCTGCTGATAAGAAAGCTTCCTCGTTGCTCATTTTTCTCGTGAGAATCCGGCAATACTGCACATGAGGCGAAGGGAAGTTCTGTTGCTCAGCCACAGATACTTCGGATGTGTGAGGAAGTGAAAAATGTCAATAAGTTCCATCATATCTTGACATTTTAATTTTAATTTTTAAATAAAAATTTAGAAATAAGTTATACCGCAGGAATGACTGCCATCATCCTGCTAATTTTTCTGGCTGCCATCAATCGGGAAGTACCAGAGAAACTGCAGGAAACTTCGCCCGGAACATCTTTCCGGTAATTTCTGCCATTTTTCGGACATCATCCGATTTTTTGTTCTCTGATAATTTTTTTAAATTGTTGCCATCCGATTCCCACTAATTTATCGTATGGAAGCGTTCCTGTCAATTCACCGAGTTTCCAGGTACAGATTATTTCCGTAAAATGGAAAATGTTCATTTTATTTGGCTCCAATGGTTTCGGTCCTTAGTTTCTCACAAAATGACTTAATGGTGACTTAACGTGAGCATGGTAGCAATGTGTAAATTCTTCTTCGAGATAAATCTCCGGTAAAACTCCGGGAGTGATTCCGTGCACCTCAAAGCAAGAGATCATGAGTGGGAAGACCAAGATAAGCGTTTGGAGAGCAAATAGAAAAACCTCTTAACCTCAATATGGCGAGGTACTGTCTGGAGAGATACGAACGGGTTTCCCCCCTTCCAACTGCAACTGATGGGAGACTCCCAGTTCATTCTACTTGTTGTATTTTAAAATAATATATGGATAAATTGCTTCAACATTCAGGTTTCAGCGATTCATGCAGCTGTAGATAAACGGAGAATTGGCAAAAACGCCGATTCACTGTGGCATTGCCATAGGAGTAGATGAAACGCGTGAAAGAAAGTAAAACGCCGATTCACAGTGGCATCTCCCTCAATTGCCGACGAGGGTCCGAACCACCTGCGAGATACGGCTCGAACTCAGCGAAGCGAGCGAAGGAGGCGAGATAACCCCCGCGCGGCCCAGAGAGATAGCAGCGTGTGCTCGCCGGGCGGGACCAGTTTCTATGAGCCACAGGGGAGTGGAAGGGAGGACGATCCCGGCTTTCTCCCTCGGCCTCGCTGGTTCCCTCCCGCGTTTCCTCAGTCGTTCTTGACATGATCGACCGTCGGGACTCTGAAGGCTCGATAGAAAACAGTCTGGAGGAATCAGCGTGAGTTCTCTCCAACTAAAGGTTTCAATCCCAAAACTAGTGCGGTCAGTAAGCCTAAGTGCACGTGTATGTGTGGAGCACGGTGAGGTGACTCCTTCGCACCGAACATATCTATGTTAAGAGAGGTTAGTTTATCTTGAATAATCTCTGAACCTGAGACTCGTAATAGGTGCCATATCCCAGCTAAGCCTTGAACCTTGAACTTAAAGTGTCGCGATTCTAGACTTCCTTCCTCCTGATGATCCTGCCCTCAGTTATGCAGTTCCTCTTGAGACTACCGGGTGTCGATACCAGGCTATCGGTCGTCAACCCTAGGTTATCGAGTGTCGACCGGGGGGTCCGTGAGAAGGTGTCAGCCTGCGTTTCTCGAATGGGGAATGTGAAAGTCCTTCCTTACCTTACTTACGCCTCCATCAACTTATTTGTGTCTTATATTTTTACGCCGGTGGTCGTAACACCCTCGTCTATTTAAGATGATTACAACAGAAACCTCTACGATCTGGAACAAATCAGAAACCGTGAAAATGAAATTACAATTTCGTGCTTTTTATAAAGGTTGAGCAGCTGGTACGATATTACGATTCAACGAATTTTAAATCTTTCCAAACCATGAACAGTTTGGGCGTAGAAGAAAGTGAAATACGATAGTATTTCCGAGATCACGTTTCGAACTGAGCAGCTTGAAGCAGTTTGCTTTTTATAGGTATGTCTCAGCGCCGGCTGAGAAAAAAATCATTCCGAGGAGGGAATAACAATTATAAATTTAAAAAATCATTCTGGTACTAGCATCCACTCATTCTTGAAAGAAGGTGCACGCGTCACATGCATTTGTTAGTCCATGGTCCTTCAGGATTTTTTTTTTTCACTCCCAAGAACCCATTCGAAAAATCCCGAGGAGGGCGTGAGTCAACTGAGAAAAACGAAGTAAATACGGAAAATGAATTTCCGGCATGATTGCGGAAAAGGCGTTTCCTGTGCTTTCAAGTATTTCCGTTGCAAGTGAAGCAGTCACGTAAAGTATCCTTGCTCTCACCGTCTGGTGAATTTCAATTCACCGGATATTTAAAATATTTTCCGAATTAATCGTTTCGAGAATGGATGGGAAAATGGGGAAATGCATATTACGCCTTTTCCACCTTAACGTATTATTCTTAAATATTAACAGGCTTAATTTTCGTCACATGAAAAAAGAATGTGACTCGAGCCTCAAGCGAAAAGGGAGTGTGTTCTCAACGCGACGGAAATGCCTTCGGGCGTGGGGTCGCCCGACAGGAAGCGCATTGTTTCAAAGGTCTTTCTCAACCGGGGGAGGAGAAGGCACTTCCTCGCTTCTCCCGCACCCGCCAGGGCATTTAAAACGTGACGGCTTCACAGTGGGGTCTTCCAGTGTTCGCGTCGCGAACTGAAGGTCACCCCAGCAAGCAGCAATTGCATACATTTATGCCAATAATATTTTACAAAAAAAGCAAATGTCGCTAGTAAAATACTCGTCATTTCGGTTGAGCATTTTCCTTGCTTAGGGGAATAATACAAATTTTGGAAACAAAGTCGGAAAATGTATATAATATGTTTTTCTGTAATATTCGAAGAGAAAGATGTACCTAGTAATAATACGGCTAAGATATTCTAGAAAATGGGGGATTTTTCCAGAACATCAGGAGAGATCGAGGTTTGCGTGTGTTCTCGGAAATTTTTACATCTAATAGGAAAAGGAAGAAAACTTTTTCCTCTTTGTCTTTAAAGTAGTTTCCCCAGGGGATTTCCCTTCAATTCATGAAAACCGGAGTTTAGTGCTCCCTCCAGACTACAACCTCTTCCAAATGTTTCGCAGAGGAATGCAGTTCGAGGAGGATGCAAATGCGAGGGATATTTCAAATCGGAGGAGAGGCGATTTTGTCGGCTAATTTGATATTGCGACCAGACTCTGCTTGTTGAAGGCACGTCGAAAAATAGTGTACGTGTCAAGGCAATCGAAATAAAGAAGAAGGGGTCCAAGGTTACGACGCCCTTGAAGAATTGTAAACTTAAAAAAATCACATTACTTTTTCTCATATGAAATGTTTCCATATGAGTGTGCCTGGACCCGCACGTGGCATGAACATGCGGTTTCCATGTCGCAATTTGTGCTTCTTCGAATCATATAACAAACTGAATGTTAGAGCGAAAAATCCATCGACTGTACTACTATCTCGACGCGTGGTTTCATGCTAAACCTGTCGAAATGCAGACTTTTGGCAAAGGTCCTGTCACCACGCTCCCCGTGACGCTTTAAAAACGAAAAAACTTGCAGCCGCCACAAGGAATGCATTTAGACAATCACAATTCAGGCTCAATATGTAAGAATTGTGTCTTTCGCCTCACAATTGTTGGCACGAAATAATAATATAAAAAATTGCCTCCTTGATTATTTGTGAAAGATGCTAGAATACATAATTACTAGTTGCAAACCTTTGCAAGTTTCTAATGATGGGCTGGCAATCTCCCCGTAACATATGTAATCATTTTGCTGTTTATAAATTATGGAGTTTCGAGGTCACATGGCACGTCATGGGATTGAGAAGCTAAAATTGAGCATACCTTTGCCATAAAGGTACTATAAGGTACTATATTATAATTAATAAAGGTATTTAGCAGGGAAGCGGGACTATGTTCAAGAAGGCAATCTTTTTTTATGACGCTTTCATCTGAATAATTTATCACTATTTATTTTATTTTGACGCGATTTTATTGTCCTGTTAGAGAGGCGGTATGGGTGAAGAGGGAGAAGCCGATGCTGAGCTCCACCCGCGTCCCATCCAGGAACTCCCTCGAAATCGCCTACTCCGACGTCCATTATTGGGTTCGCGATCACGACGGAGGTACGACACACTCTCAAACTTGGTAGATGAGATTTCCACGGAAGGTGAACATTTTCTTTATGGGAATGCTGCGAAGCAGAGATGAAGGAGATCCTGAAGGGTCTGGACGGGCGGATGAAGCCTGGGGAGCTGACGGCCGTCATGGGACCCAGCGGGGCGGGGAAGACCAGCCTCATGAACGTTCTCACCGGTTTTAGGTCGCCACATTTATACCACCATCTTCCCTCCCCCCAAAAATTCCTACTAACTTCATCCCGACCCATCTATTTGGTCGTCATGCCTATTTATTCAGTCGTTGTAAGTTATTGTTGTTTACATGATTCAAATCCCTCTCTTCAGGTAGTTTCTTAATGCAATCCAGGATACGTCAGTGCTAGTTTGAAAAGCATTCCATGCCTATAAATGAGCAAGGAATTAATATTACCTGAGTAACAATTCAACCCTCAAGTACTGATCCATAGACGCAACCTAGTATGAAGTATATCCGTCGCTTACCAGAGTAACAGAATGTGGCAATGCATGAATCCAAGAGAGAGACATTCAGAAACCCCTCTTTTTCATTACGCAGTTCCTCAAGTCTGTCCCACCCCCTCACGGCAGGAAACTGCATAAAAAATATACTTTCGAGGAGCTATCGCCTACATAAAGTTTTATTACCCGTCATATAGTCTAATTAGCTATATTCGCTGTGAAGAGATAAAGGTCAAGGTATATAACGACAAGAAGCTCGAAAATTGCGTCAGCCCTGAGAATTTCTAAATGATGAGGTGATCATCCTCTTCTCTTCCTAAAGCCTCATTATACCACTTCACTAGCCAATTTGCATTACTTTTTACATATGGCGTATATTTGAAGTGGATTTTTCGTACTTAAAATAAATTTCCCCTTAATTTACGATTCCATTGAATTGTAAATAATAAGTTGCGTTACCTGCAAATATTTTGAAAGCAACAAAATGCATGCAAGTTACTTTTAAGCAAGAAAATATAAAATATCCGCTCAATCGTCCTGCAGTGCCTTTGATTGGCCCTTACGCCAATTATTGGCCCAAAGGTAACACCGGGAATCTTTAGAGGGATCTTCTTTCCCATTCTCGCATTAAAGCTAGGGTAAACTAACACCCCTAAATCATTCGAAGCCTTCCCACTAAAGCCACAACCCCCTCCCACCAAAACCTTTTTTGGTGAGACCCATTAACACCCAGAAATTCTGACTATGCATGGATGTCCACAATCATTGACATCTATAGGCAGAAGGGCGTGACGGGAAAAGTGGAAGTGAATGGGAGAGAAAGGAACCTGCGCGTGTTCCGCCACCAAAGCAGCTACATCCCTCAGCAGGACCACGTGATCCCCTGCCTCACAGTCATGGAGTCCATGCTTGTCGCCGCCAACCTCAAACTTCCGAACTCAAAGTCTTTCAAAGAGAAGCACAATGCCGTCAGTTCCACTCTTAGTCTCTTTTTAGTTTGCTCTGGATTACTTTATGGATTTGCTAGTCTCGAGACCTCATATAACATAGGCAAAATAATCTAATCTATAATACAGTCATGTAAGAGAAAAGCACAAAAATTATTTCCTAGTTTATTTTTCGGAGAGTAACAGAAAATTATGACCTCCCATAACCCCGAAAAGTTGAAAAGACGAGCATTCTGTCTGAAAAGCTATATTCAGTGGCTGTAGCTCAGTATTTTTTGGTCTTGTTAACACTCATTTCATGCCCTTTACCTAATTTGTAAGTTAACCAATCCAAATTTAGTAAATAAATTAGTTAAGTTCATGATCATGAAGGTTTTGAAGCGGATACAGGAGTTTCATCATATTTAGATATATATGTATATATTTTTAACTTTTACTATGAGGAAATACAGGCGAGATAATACTTTTTATTAATATCTATCCTTGCGATTATATGTATTCCAAGATTATGGAAATAAAAAATGTCGACTGCAGGTCGTGGAGATCCTACAACACTTGGCTATCCTGGATTGTGCGGAGACAAAGGCATCATTTCTGTCAGTTGGAGAGAGGAAGCGACTTTGCATCGCCCTTGAGCTCCTCGCCGACCCTTCTTTCCTCTTCCTTGACGAACCCACCAGGTAGGTTGAGGTTAACCTGCGTTTTTATCAATGGAACTGTTTGACATCAGAGGACCCTAATCTAAGTATAGTTGAATGAGTTTCATGATGATATTATGTCACTTTAAAAGAAAAATATATGTTTAAAGAATTGCCCATTAATAGTTGAAAGAAAGAATAAATATGAATTTGTTATTGATAAAAAATCATGGTGTTGTGCTGCCCTTTAAAATATAAAGAAAAAAGACAATTTTCAGCAATTAGGTAATAAAATTGGATGAGAAGAATCGTGTAACACATTCTCCCGAACATTTCATGATGAGACCTGAAAGGTCACTTCCCTTGTTTTTTTTTTGCTTCAGAGGCAATTCCTATTTCAACCTAAAAAGATTAACTCNNATGCATGGATGTCCACAATCATTGACATCTATAGGCAGAAGGGCGTGACGGGAAAAGTGGAAGTGAATGGGAGAGAAAGGAACCTGCGCGTGTTCCGCCACCAAAGCAGCTACATCCCTCAGCAGGACCACGTGATCCCCTGCCTCACAGTCATGGAGTCCATGCTTGTCGCCGCCAACCTCAAACTTCCGAGCTCAAAGTCTTTCAAAGAGAAGCACAATGCCGTCAGTTCCACTCTCAGTCTCTTTTTTGTTTGCTCTGGATTACTTTATGGATTTGCTAGTCTCGAGACCTCATATAACATAGGCAAAATAATATAATATATAATACAGTCATGTAAGAGAAAAGCACAAAAATTATTTCCTAGTTTATTTTTCGGAGAGTAACAGAAAATTATGACCTCCCATAACCCCGAAAAGTTGAAAAGACGAGCATTCTGTCTGAAAAGCCTTTTCAGTGGCTGTAGCTCAGTATTTTTTGGTCTTGTTAACACTCATTCCATGCCCTTTACCTAATTTGTAAGTTAACAAATCCAAATTTAGTAAATAAATAAGTTAAATTCATGATCATGAAGGTTTTGAAGCGGATACAGGAGTTTCATCATATTTATATATATATGTATATAATTTTAACTTTTACTATGAGGAAATTCAGGCGAGATAATAATTTTTATTAATATCCCATCCTTGCGATTATATGTATTCCAAGATTATGGAAATAAAAAATGTTGACTTCAGGTCGTGGAGATCCTACAACACTTGGCTATCCTGGATTGTGCGGAGACAAAGGCATCATTTCTGTCAGTTGGAGAGAGGAAGCGACTTTGCATCGCCCTCGAGCTCCTCGCCGACCCTTCTTTCCTCTTCCTTGACGAACCCACCAGGTAGGTTGAGGTTATCCTGCGTTTTCATCAATGGAACTGTTTGACATCAGAGGACCCTAATCTAAGTATAGTTAAATGAGTTTCATGATGATATTATGTCACTTTAAAAGAAAAATATATGTTTAAAAAATTGCCCATTAATAGTTGAAAGAAAGAATAAATATGAATTTGTTATTGATAAAAAATCATGGTATTGTGTTGCCCTTTAAAATATAAAGAAAAAAGACAATTTTCAGCAATTAGGTAATAAAATTGGATGAGAAGAATCGTGTAACACATTCTCCCGAACATTTCATGATGAGACCTGAAAGGTCACTTCCCTTGTTTTTTTTTTGCTTCAGAGGCAATTCCTATTTCAACCTAAAAAGATTAACTCGTATTTCCGGATACAGTAGGAAAGACTAAAAGGCTCCATTTGAATACCAATATCATCATGAGTGGAGTCACTAAAAAAAGTAAAAGAGGAGCCCAAGATGATACTTTTTTGTGGATGCAGAAGAGGAGGTCTGCAATGTTCAGATTGAGGGAAATGATTAGCGCAAGGAGCTAAATACTAAATGAAATAAGGAGTAACCACATGATTTTGTGTTTTTCATTCACTATGATGTATTAATATTTATTTTATTCTCCTACCTCTCTTTTGATTGCACCCAGGCCTGACCGAATAATTTCATGTTGAAATGAGGACAACGGTAATGGAAATGACAATAGTAGTGGGTGAGAACGTCAAATCTCAAATGAATAGTAATATGAGAACTTGGCTAATTATGCCTAATGAGTCGGTACATTTCCCGATCATAGTAGCAATGAATTTTTTTGAATAACCAAAATTTACTTTTCGCGTGCTTGAAAGACAACCTGAAATTCCTGGAATTCAGAATCATTAATGACCCCTTCATTTGCATGGCATTCGCAATGGTTTGTGAATGGTGATGCAGTGGACTGGACAGCTCCACTTGCCTACAATGCGTGAGCCTGCTGAGAATGTTGGCACGCGAGGGCCGAACCGTGATCTGCACAATCCACCACCCCAGCGCGAAGATCCTGGAGATGTTCGATCATCTGATTCTCCTCGCCGAGGGTCGCAGTCTTTACCACGGCACCATCTCCTCGCTGGTGCCCTACCTCCGCCAGTTCGGCCTTCATTGCCCTCCGTATCACAACCCAGCCGACTACGGTAAGTAGCTTCTCGGAACCTTGAGGAGGG